AAATTTCCCTCTCATTTGAAACTTACCTATTTTTATAGAAAATTAATATCTACGTATATAGCAATATTCGATTGCGGGGGTTGTAATTTTTGTTGTACACCAAATATTTTGAATTTTTTGATAGATTTGTTTAATAATCTACAACCAACCCTAAAACTGCCCTCTCACAATAAATTTCCTTCTCATTTGAAACTTAAGTAATTTTTTAGAAAATTAAATACGTATATAGCAATATTCGATTGCGGGGGTTGTAATTGTTGTTGTACACCAAATATTTTGAATTTTTGATAGACTTTGTTTAAGTAATCTACAACCAACCCTAAAATTGCCTATAACAATAAATTTCCTTCTCTCACAATAGAAAATTTTCTACGTATATAGCAATATTCATGCGGGGGTTGTAATTATTGTTGTACACCAAATATTTTGATTTTTTTGATAGATTTCGTTTAGGTAATCTACAACCAACCCTAAAACTGCCCTCTAACAATAAATTTCCTTATCATTTGAAACTTACGTATTTTTTAGAAAATTTATACGTATATAGCAATATTCGATTGCGGGGGTTGTAATTGTTGTTGTACACCAAATATTTTGAATTTTTGATAGACTTTGTTTAAGTAATCTACAACCAACCCTAAAATTGCTCTATAACAATAAATTTCCTTCTCGTTTGAAACTTAAATATTTGTTTAGAAAATTAACTTCTACGTATATAGCAATATTCGGTTGCGGGGGTTGTAATTATTGTTGTACACCAAATATTTTGATTTTTTTGATAGATTTCGTTTAGGTAATCTACAACCAACCCTAAAACTGCCCTCTAACAATAAATTTCCTTCTCATTTGAAACTTACGTATTTTTATAGAAAATTAATATCTACGTATATAGCAATATTCGATTGCGGGGGTTGTAATTTTTGTCGTACACCAAATATTTTGAATTTTTTGATAGATTTCGTTTACGTAATCTTCAACCAACCCTGAAACTACCCTTTAACATTAAATTTCCTTCTCGTTTGAAACTTACGTAATTTTATAGAAAATTAATATCTACGTATATAGCAATATTCGATTGCGGGGGTTGTAGTTTTTGTGGTACTCCAAATATTTTGAATTTTTTGATAGATTTTGTTTAAGTAAACTACAACCAACCCTAAAACTGCCCTCTAACAATAAATTTCCTTCTCGTTTGAAACTTACGTATTTTTATAGAAAATTAGTATCTACGTATATAGCAATATTCGATTGCGGGGGTTGTAATTTTTGTTGTACACCAAATATTTTGAATTTTTTGATAGATTTCGTTTAAGTAATCTACAACCAACCCTAAAACTGCCCTCTAACAATAAATTTCCTTCTCATTTGAAACTTACGTATTTTTATAGAAAATTAGTATCTACGTATATAGCAATATTCGATTGCGGGGGTTGTAATTTTTGTTGTACACCAAATATTTTGAATTTTTTGATAGATTTCGTTTAAGTAATCTACAACCAACCCTAAAACTGCCCTCTAACAATAAATTTCCTTCTCATTTGAAACTTACGTATTTTTATAGAAATTTAATATCTACGTATATAGCAATATTCGATTGCGGGGGTTGTAATTTTTGTTGTACACCAAATATTTTGAATTTTTTGATAGATTTCGTTTAAGTAATCTACAACCAACCCTAAAACTGCCCTCTAACAATAAATTTCCTTCTCATTTGAAACTTACGTATTTTTATAGAAAATTATATCTACGTATATAGCAATATTCGATTGCGGGGGTTGTAATTTTTGTTGTACACCAAATATTTTGAATTTTTTGATAGATTTCGTTTAAGTAATCTACAACCAACCCTAAAACTGCCCTCTAACAATAAATTTCCTTCTCATTTGAAACTTACGTATTTTTATAGAAAATTAGTATCTACGTATATAGCAATATTCGATTGCGGGGGTTGTAATTTTTGTTGTACACCAAATATTTTGAATTTTTTGATAGATTTCGTTTAAGTAATCTACAACCAACCCTAAAACTGCCCTCTAACAATAAATTTCCTTCTCATTTGAAACTTACGTATTTTTATAGAAATTTAATATCTACGTATATAGCAATATTTGATTGCGGGGGTTGTAATTTTTGTCGTACATCAAATATTTTAAATTTTTTGATAGATTTCGTTTACGTAATCTTCAACCAACCCTGAAACTACCCTTTAACATTAAATTTCCTTCTCGTTTGAAACTTACGTAATTTTATAGAAAATTAATATCTACGTATATAGCAATATTCGATTGCGGGGGTTGTAGTTTTTGTGGTATTCCAAATATTTTGAATTTTTTGATAGATTTTGTTTAAGTAAACTACAACCAACCCTAAAACTGCTCTCTAACATTAAATTTCCCTCTCATTTGAAACTTACGTATTTTTATAGAAAATTAATATCTACGTATATAGCAATATTCGATTGCGGGGGTTGTAATTTTTGTTGTACACCAAATATTTTGAATTTTTTGATAGATTTCGTTTAAGTAATCTACAACCAACCCTAAAACTGCCCTCTCACAATAAATTTCCTTCTCATTTGAAACTTAAGTAATTTTTTAGAAAATTAACTTATACGTATATAGCAATATTCGATTGCGGGGGTTGTAATTGTTGTTGTACACCAAATATTTTGAATTTTTAGATAGACTTTGTTTAAGTAATCTACAACCAACCCTAAAATTGCTCTATAACAATAAATTTCCTTCTCGTTTGAAACTTAAATATTTGTTTAGAAAATTAACTTCTACGTATATAGCAATATTCGGTTGCGGGGGTTGTAATTATTGTTGTACACCAAATATTTTGATTTTTTTGATAGATTTCGTTTAGGTAATCTACAACCAACCCTAAAACTGCCCTTTAACATTAAATTTCCTTCTCGTTTGAAACTTACGCAATTTTATAGAAAATTAATATCTTCGTATATAGATTTTGTAAGTAAACTACAACCAACCCTAAAACTGCCCTCTAACAATAAATTTCCTTCTCATTTGAAACTTACCTACGTATTTTTATAGAAATTTAATATCTACGTATATAGCGATATTCGATTGCGGGGGTTGTAATTTTTGTCGTACACCAAATATTTTGAATTTTTTGATAGATTTCGTTTACGTAATCTTCAACCAACCCTGAAACTACCCTTTAACATTAAATTTCCTTCTCGTTTGAAACTTACGTAATTTTATAGAAAATTAATATCTACGTATATAGCAATATTCGATTGCGGGGGTTGTAGTTTTTGTGGTACTCCAAATATTTTGAATTTTTTGATAGATTTTGTTTAACTAAACTACAACCAACCCTAAAACTGCCCTCTAACAATAAATTTCCTTCTCGTTTGAAACTTAAGTATTTTTTTAGAAAATTAACTTCTACGTATATAGTAATATTCGATCGCGAGGGTTGTAATTTGGCCATAAGGAATAAGAAATATAAGAAAATGTGTGGCAAAGGGGAGCCGACATCATTTTGCTGGAAGTGCAACAGATTTCGCTTCATTAGCGTTACAAGAGACACATGCCTAGATTTCTTGAGCGGGGTGAGAGACTTGACACAGGAAAAGTTTCGACCAGGAAACAAAATCGTTTCTTGATGTATCTTTGCTCTGTCGCTTAATAAAGAAATTTTATTTTGGTAAGGACCTAGTTTAGCTATCTAGTTTCAAATGGGGTAGTTGTATTGGGGGTGTTTTCTTTGCCTTTTTACGGCACAGAAAAATAAAAACTGGTTTCATTTTTGTTATAACTCTCATATACATACTTTTTGCCGTGCGGTAAGATGCTTTTAATCATAACTTCTTAAAGTAATGACAGCTAAGTGGAGGAAGAAGCGTATGTGAAGGCTAAAGCGTAAACGCAGGAAGAGTGTTATGTTCTCTAAAAAAGTTAGCAAAAGTTTTCCCTAAGAAAATGGAAGTTAATTTGCGAAAAAACGAAGAAAAATGTCCTGAATATCTGAAGGGTTGACCTTTTGACAAAACTTTTTTCTTAAAATTCACTTTTTTGTCGATCATGTCGTTATTTTCAACACCATTTCCATTCTTCGAGTAACTTTGCTATTCCCATTATTAATTAAACTTAAAATTCGTGACTCCACAAAATGTCCAGTAATCAAAGGGATGGAAGTTACACCTAAAGTTACAGAACGGAATAAGCTTACAAATGTTACCTCTTCTAGTAAGGGGATGAAATACAAGACTCTAGAATGCGATTAAACTTGGTAACTCTTCGATATACAAATTTAGCGCATTTTTCTGTTAATTTTATTCACATTGATTTAGTAGGGGGCATATGTTGGTTGGTATGATTCGAACCGTCTGTTGGCTTATTTTTAGGTAAATAAAACAAATGAGGTAGTGGCTGAAGGGCTTACTTTCTTCTAACGTACTGTTTCTTAGATCTTTTTCACTACTTTATATCAGGTAGATATAGGTAACATCTTCATTCGTGAACATAACTCACAATTTGAAAAAAATGTTACTGCCCCCCGCGTATATAACCGTTTTTGGTTTAGTTTCGAAAATATTTGATAATCCGGACCAAAGTTACAGTCCATTCCATTATTATGGCGTTCAAAGAAAGCCAGAAACATCCTTGCTTTCGTGGCGCCTATTGTGACGTTTTATCCGTTCACGTTATTTTTTAAATTTCACAGTAAACAGGAAAAAAATTAGAAACTTGCCGCAAACGGCAGGTGCGTGTATTGCAAACGAGGCGATCGCACATTTTATTTAAACGATTGTACGTAAGGCACCTGCCCCCATCCTTTTATTCGCAAAATACCCACCCTTACGTAACATTTCGACGGTATAACAAAGAAACGCGCCGAATTGTCCTAAAATAACCATCAAAAAATCAATAAGTACCCCGCGAGTCGACGGATAGCAATAACTAAAGTGCAGCTATGTAAGAGTGTCAAGGTCAGTACTAGATATGCACCGCGTTGCAATTGCACTTGGTGTAATAATGCAACAGTACGTCGTCGTGCACAACTCTGCTCGTTGGTGACTTAATACATTAGCGAAACATGTCCCGTGGTTTTTTCATTGTAAATTAAGAAGAGGTACGGTTTTTGTTGTTGTGGTGCTGTGCGAATTTTTACGGGAAAACGACGGCGCGGTTCCACGCGTCGGCATTAATAATAATATAATCACTTTCAACCTTCGAATTCGTAACACTCCTTTGTTTATACAAAAAATTTAAAGGAAGGCAATCTGGACCAGGTCCAAATTGGGATGGGGTAAATCGCAACGGAATTTAGGTAGTGCTAATTTATAAAAAAAGAAATTGTTTATACACGCGATAAAATAATTCGCGCGCGGATAGAAAATTTACTCATGACTCCACTTTGATTAGATATACGTTAGAATTATATAAATAGTGATAATTGTGCTTTTTTCCTATCGCGAATTTTTCGCAAATGATAAAAAATAGTGCGTTTATTGTGATTGGAATTCGGCGAGATTTTCGGCGCGAGAAGGGGTAGCGCCCGGGGGGTAAGCGCGTAATTTTCGCGTGCGTGTATCCAACAAAGTTGCGCCACATGATAACATACATCCAAATAACAAAATTTGAAGGTTATTGGAAGATCAAGTGGTTTATCTATATGGCGGCTGTTTATTTTTTCAAAACCGCCAAAAAACACGCAACTTTGTGTGATAAAGTGGAGTGAAAAATTAGAAATTGATAAGTCTAAATGTGTCACAGTTGCGTAACGGAAGAGGGCCTAAAGCTCGAGGCGCTTCCGCGTTTACAATTTTTGACCTAAATACAATTTTTCCCCCAATAACGTAATCGATACCCATTTTCAAATTAAGTATTCGTCTTAAAAAAGCGTAATGTCAATATTTGTGCATCCCGCCCTATTTGTACATCATGAACGCACACCCCTTTTAATTTGTCAAATTTTGATGTACGTCTAGGCAAAAAAAATAGGGGGCGATGCACGCGCGGATGCGTGCCCGTAATAGATCTCTAAAGTATTCATTTTTTGCGAGAGGGTAGTTTTGACAGCGCTTCCCTGCAATTGTGGAGGGTCTAAGAAGCAGGAGCGCTATTGATCGCACTTTTTGATCCCTAGCTTTCCCCCTTGTGTTACTAAATGCACCGAAACGCGATGCAGCGCGTCCCTAATTAAAAATTCGCGCACTTCGAAAAATCAGCCTTGAAATCAAATTGCGTCAATTCGCGACGAAAGTGAATCATCAAACTGAATTTTTTCTCTCCTCAAATCGCGCTCTTGACAAACGTCCCAACCTTGGCGATAGTGCACAAAGCGAAATAGAAAAATTCGCGAACGAGGAGGGACGCGCGGCGTTATAAACAAAAACTAGGAAGAAAAAGACGCAATTAACTTTAAAAAGAGGCCGCGGTCAGTAAAGAAAGAACGCGCCTCATTTTGAACAAAGACGAAAATTATTTTAACCTATCATATTGAAACGTATCCCAAGAATGCGAATAGAAACGCCCGTACATTAGAAAAAGATAGGATTAAACGTAGATAAAGAGTACACGTCTGGTAGAAAGAGAGGAGGCGCGCGAGTTTTTTCCAAACCGGGAACGCTGCTGCGTTTTCGAGTGCGAGAAAGACGGACGCGATGCATATAACAAGGACGGGGGGATGCATTAGATACGGAAGGAGAGGAAAACCGAAAGGAGAGGGAAAATGCAAGTGCATGTAGACGCCGAGTGGCGTCGTACTTGTTGCGTCAGAGTGTGACGTTGCATTGAATAGACCATATTACTTCGGCATTTAGAAGAAGCTTTTTCGGACAAAATTTTCACGAAGCTGGCGCGCCGGAAAAAATTCTTAGGATGAAATTGCCATTTAGACGAAAGTAAGCGCGCTTCCTTGTTTTCGTCGTCGATAATTAGCCCCGCGATTAAAAATCGAGGGTAGGGGGGAATACGCGAAAATCTATTAGAAAAAAAATGCTAATTCTATTAATTTTGTTGCAGACTTCAACAAAATGGCGGAAGTGCATCAAATTAAATTACGAAGAAGCCGCGTGTTTTCGCAAAAATACTTTTGTTTATAATTAAACGATGTGATAATTTATAATTTAAGTGTTGTAGTACTTTTTTTTTAAAAAAGGCACGTGATATACGTAAATTAAGTAACGTAAAGTGTTCTTATTTATTTAAGTACGCTATAAACTTAGTGCAATATTTTAATGAAATCGAAGGCGCGAGTGCTTAAAACAGTTGAGTTCTAACAAGTGGTTTTTGTTTATAAATTTAAATTTGGAACAAAGTTGAGTTTAGCAAATTTGAGTGCGCCTCCTCCGATGTCAACTTGTTTAAATTTGCAAGGGAAAAAATTCGAAGCGCGAGAAAAGGCGCAACTTTAAATATTTTTAGTGTAATGAATGATTTGATTTGCAATGGGCCGAATTATTTCTGTTTGTACTATACATAGCGTCGCGCACAGTGTAGCAAACTTAGCGCCTCGGAAAAATGGCGGACTGCTCGTATTCGCGATGTATCCAACAGAAGCGATATATTAGAAGAGAGCTACAAAGATGGACAAAAAATATGGTGTATATAGTGGGTGAGTGCATAATCCCTTACAAATCAGGCTTACAGTAAAATTACGTAGGAAAATCTGTTGGAAAAGCGGTTCGTTTCAAGGATAAATTTCCAAATGCATGTGTAACCTGTTGCAGATTTCAAGGATTTTCTCAATTTTTTTCACTTATGTGTACGTAATTGTGCTAGTTTTTGTTCTGAAAAATTCATTTCACCAATGCACTTTTTAGACGTCCAACTTTTTTTGCATTTCTCCGGTTTCCTTTCTTCCGGGTGCAGTTAATGATTTTTTAAGATGCACTTTTTTAAATGCGTCGTAGTAGCATTTTCGACTGACCGCGCCGAATTCAACAACCTTTGTTGTTAAATCGCTAAATTGTCTAGAAAATTCGTATGGAATCTTGCTGCAACGTGCTCCCCCGATTTTCAAATCGAGCGGCACGCGCGATTATTTTTTTCCCATTCAATTTGGGGCGTTTTCTACCGACGATGTTTTCGTGAAGACGACGGGGTGAAATGCAACACATTTAATTGGCCTCGATTTCCTTTAAATTCAACAAACAAAAATTATTGTCGATTTAATTACAAATGGTATCCTTTCATTAATTGCGGTTATGCCCTAATATCGGATATTCAGGTCAAATTAACCATATTACATTTTTGCAATTAATACTTCCTCGCGCGATTAAAAACGCGATTTCGAAAAAGCTCGCATCTAAAAGCGTGCGCCCCAATTTAAGCGCGCATTTTCCAAAACGGCTACAAATTCTAGGTTTAGGTTAAACTGCATTGTAAATAATCTAATATTAACATATAAATGTCAAGCTAACCGTGAGCTAGATTTGTGGTAGGGTAAAACTTCGCCTGTAGAGTGCATCGCCGACTGCAATTGCATTTAAGACATGCGCGGGTTTCAATTCTGCTCTCCAGTTCGAATAAGAGGCACACGTGTAAAAACCCCTCGCAAAAATTTTCGGAAATCTCAACCGTCCGTCGAAGAAGCGCCATTTTCTCGACCCCGAAAATCGCAAGAATAGCGGAATCTAGGTTGAAAAACTGCAGAATGCATCTAACGACAGTTAGATTAAGTAGCGCACATCTACAAATTAACTGTTCATACAAAAATACCATAAATAGTAGTAAAAATTTGTGACCGTTTTATATACCTACCATTGTAACGTTGGTTCCTCAATTACGTACAAAAAATGAAAAACGAATCAATTGCGTATTAGATAAAACGCAGAGGTTCCGGAAATGTTGAACTATTAACTGCGGTTGTTAATGGAGTGCGAACAATCATCGTTATGAAATTAATGAAACGAAAAAGACGGAATAATAACATAATTATTCATCTTGAACTTGTTGCCTTTATAGTTTACATCACCATTACAACTAATGATTTGGACTGGTTTACCATCTTAAATCAGAAACTTATAACGGATACAATTTTAATACTTTCATGAACCTAGTATTACTTCCCCTGTCAATTAAAATGTACCTATGCTACTGCCATGGTGGTAAAAAATGAAGAAACAGCTTATTCGCATGAAAAAGAAGTTGAATTCACCATTCAGAAATCGAAAATATTAAGCTGGTGGACACACGTCACTGTATTGAATTCATTTCGCAATTAAAATATAATTGAAGTTAAGCTTAAAGCAACAAACGCAATTAAAGCTCAATTCACTACTTGCACACACGAGAATTCAATTCACAGTTAAAGTGAATCCTTTTTATTCTTCACTTCATTTGTTGAATTTAATCCGTTTGAGCAATTAAGCTTTGTATTCGAAACATGGTATGAAGCCTCCATCTCAAAAAGCTCCTATAAGAATTAAATGACTTTCTCATGTTCCCAAATTTGTAAAAATTACTTTTGAAACACAGCAGCTTTCGATAATTGAAGCCATGTGCTATTTCCTTGGTCTATGAACCTCGAGCACCTATTTCTAAACATTGTTTTATACAGTATTTTAAAGGCAATTTTAAAAGTGCTTCAATTTTGTGAGATGTTCTAGTTTAAACAGTGACTATTCCATAGCCAACTTATCGGTAAGCTCTTTTGAGATAGGCTTTTCTTCTTAGGTGCTAGCACTAAAATCGTTCCAGTTTTGTAGATCGCATTAAAAAAACTACATATTTATACCCTCCCTTATGCCTACCTATGTTTTATTTTGTACAGAAAGTTGCACAACGTCGAAACTCGCCTCGAACTAGACTATTAGATATTTAATTGAAATCAAATGTACCTAAGTACCTAATGTAATTTATGTCAAGTTTCACATTTTGAAAATGATGATATGAAAACGTTACCCTCAGAACCAAAATTGCTGTTGCTTTTGAAATCTCAACTAAGCAGCTTTTCGGCTGGGTTACGTTAGCACCCCTAAATCGGCACACCAGTTTGTTACAGCGCCAAAATTTTGTGCTAATTTGTGCACCAATCCCCAAATTGTTCCCACAATCGCGCAATCGCCTAAAACAATCCCGCAATCGTTGTGACAATCACATTGGCAATCGTGCACGCCCTCACCTGTATTTAGGTCACACGCTACGCGGGGTTAGGCAAAAAAGTTATTGGACCTAACTTTATTTTTTTTAATAGAGCGCCCTGTATTACTTAATCAACCCCTAAAAAAGCGGCACAGCACCTCGAAGTGACCCTACGCATCATTGGATTTGACCCATTTTCAATAGGCACATTACTTGTGGCATATAGGTCAACTATGCAAAGTTTGAACCAAATCGGTCCAAGAGTTTGACAGTTATCGTGTTCACGGACAGACGGACACCATCGACTCCCCTTATAAAGCTTGAATCGCTTTGCTCTGTCGCGTAATAATCTAAAATTAAAGCATATTTACTTTTAAAAACATATAATACACTAAGGGTGATATTCAAAAGGGGCTAAAAAAAGGTCAAATGATTTGATAAATATGTAGACAACATAATCTTTCGGTTTTTTAAATCTTTTGAATCTATTTGAATCAATATGGAATTTTTGTAGTGTTATATTTTGGAAAAGAGATTCTTAATATGATAGTTTTTGATTAAAATATTTCAATTTAAAATGTACGTAGGAAAATCAAAAAATTGTCAATCTCAGAATGAACCTATATTTCTTAAGCGAGATATAGAAATATTTTTACAAGTTTCTTTATAAGACTGTTGAAGAATCTACCGTTTTAAAATAAGTGTACGGGATCAGGTAAAAAAGCTAACCCGAGACTTAACCTCATTTTTAGTGGAAGGCTCTGTATATTTTACAAGAAAAAGAGCATATTAAATTCGCTTTCCAAAAATATAACACTAGAGAAATATAAAAAATGCAATATTGGATTTTTAAAAAAATCTAATTTAATTAATATTCTTTAGAATTTTTTTTGAATCACTTGTATTTTCCCTATTTATTGCGATTGCGTTACATATTAAAAAGGAAAATTTTAATATGCTTCTTTTTAGATTAAAATATACAGGGTGTTCTAGTTAAAAAATGAGGTCAAGTCCAGTAACTTTCTGCTGACATCGTATAATGCACTAATTTCAGATTACTCAGCAAGTAGTTTTGTAATAAAGATTTTTTCGTGTCTCTTCATTTTGATATTGACAATTTTTGATTTTCCCTTGTATCTCTTTAGCGAGCGCTAGAATTTTTGAAAATTTTCATTTTGGGCCATTTTCTAGGATCGTAATTATTGGGGGCAATTTATGCGGAACAGTACAATTAATGTGGATGCCAACAGGATTATTAAGAAATTTTGCAATTTTTAGAATAATATGTCAACTTCACAGACGGTTTCAGGAATTGAACCTTCGAATTCGAAAGTTTGCTATGCTTAAAAAGCTCCTGTAGGAAATAAGCAGGGAAACAAGGAAATATTTCTCCATTTTTGGGGTAGTTGCAGAAAAATTACGTGTAGGTTGTTAAAATAGAGATGTTCTATCTATCATCTCCACGAACACTTTAGTGGTTAGTTTTTAAGAATTATTTCTCAATTTGTGGGGTGGTTGCAGAAGAATTGGGCACGGGATGTTAAATAGGAATATTCCGCCTACCATCCCTATGAAACCTGTTTCTTCAGCTTCCCAGGAATTTTTAGCTTCCTAGCATGTGCTAGGTAACTATTGCGATAGCCGTTTTTTGAATATTTCAAAATTTCATCAAATGTCGACGTTTTAGACCATTTTAAGCAACTTTTAAAGAATAAAATTTTTTTCCGTCTGTACGTACGTACGTACGTTTGTTAGCAATTTTCTGAGAAAACGGCTCGACGGATTTTGTTGAAATTTTGTATATATGTTTTAGGCATACCGAACAGAAAAATAACGGGCCGGATTTTTGAAAAGAAATTTTGGAGCGCCGTAACGGCATCGAACTTTTTTTTTCAAATAGCAACCTAAAATTTTTATTCTATTATTTGGAAGACCTTATTTTCCTGTGTACAACCTACAAAAAATTGGGCCGGGTTATATTATCAAAAAACGGAGAAAAAAATTGTCAAAGTCAAAAAATTGTGTTGCATATGTGCAAAACGCAACGATCTTGTTTCTGAAGCAATTTAAACGAAATTTCTATGGTAAGTCCCTTTAATAAAAGCAAACAAAATTCATGCGCAAAAATCGTGTTGCGCATGCGCAGAAATGCAATTTTCTTATTTATGGAACAATTAAAACGAAATTTGGATGGTAGGTCCTCCTAATAAAAGAAAACAAAATGCATGCGCAAAAAATCGAGTTGCGCATGTGCAACATCCAACTTTCTTATTTATGGAGCAATTTTAACGAAAATTGGATGGTAGATCCCTCTAATAAAAGCAAACAAAATGCATGCGCAAACATCGTGTTGCGCATGCGCAGAAATGCAACTTTCTTATGTATGGAACAATTTTAACGAAATTTAGATGGTAGATCCTTTTAATAAAAGCTAATAAAATGCATGCGCAAAAAATGCACCTTTCTTATTTTTTCCGTCTGTATGTACGTACGTACGTTTGTTGGCAATTTTCTGAGAAAACGGCTCGACGGATTTTGTTCAAATTTCGGATATGTATATTAGGCATACCGAACAGAAAAATAACGGGCTGGATTTTTGAAAAAAAATTTTGGAGCGCCGCAATGGCATCGAACTTTTCTTTCAAATACCAACCTAAAATTGTTTTTTAATCTATTCGAAAGACCTTATTTTTCTGTGCACAACCTATAAAAATTGTGCCAGGTTTTATTACAAAAAAACTAAAAAAAAAATCTCAAAGTCAAACTAAAAAAAACTAAATTAATTCTAATTAAGAATTACAATTATTAGTAATAAAATCTAAAATTAATGGACAAACATGAGCAAAATTTAAAAAAAAAGAGATACAACGGCACGCCGTCACCCATCCGAGTACTAACCGCCCCCTAGATTGCTAAACTTCGGTGATCGGTCGAGAACCGGTGTTTTCAACGTGCTATGGCTGTTGTCGAAAAAGTTACTCTTCTAGGGGAAACAATGTAGAATCTTTTTTTTTTACAAAAAGAGCACACAAAAAAGATGCAAACGCCACGCGAATTTCATATTTAGGAAAGAATGTATCATTAAAAATAACCTATTATCGCGATCTAATTATAATTATTAATTTAAGGGATAAACTTTGTTTTTTTTCCAAGTATAAAACAGAATTGAATAGGTAAACAAAAATAAATAAGGTTTACGGTGATAACAGTTATATACGATAGTTTTGATGCAAGGATTTTTGCATAGAATATATTGTATTAGTTTCAGGAATGATTTGTGGAGGTTTAACTGGATACACGAGACGAATTGGGGTGTATCCGAGGTCGTATAGGGTGATTTCTTTCGGACGACCAGTTCCGGTAAAGTGTAGGGCAACTTAATTTTGTCAACTCGAAACCTTGAATATTCTTATTCTACATCGGAAAATAATAACTTTCGTGGGAAACGTTTTTGTCTAAACTTATTATTTTTTGAAGACACTCTTCTAAAAGCGTTATTTTTGGATTGCGCTAGGAAGCTGTTCTGTCAAGAATTTGGCAACTGGTTTCAATTACACTCAAAGTTCGACCTTTTCCTTATACGTGCTTTACGGGGTTAGTTTAAAAAAATATTTCTCAATTTGTGGGGTGGTTGCAGAAGAATTGCGTACGGGGTGTTAAATAGGAATATTCCATCTAACATCCCTATGAAACCTGTTTTTCCAGCTCCCCAGGAATTTTTTCATTTACAGTCAAATTTGTGGGGCGATTGCAGAAAAATTGCGTGTGGGGATGTTGTCGACGGGAAATGAAATTATCGCCACCCGGTATACACAGAAATTACTACTTCCATGGTGAAACTATTTGGCGAAACCTTTTGCATTTATTTTAATTAATTATTAAAAACTAGATGACGATCTTCCCAAAACACTTTTCACATTGTCGAATGAGCGAAGTGGGCCCCCCATATTGAACTCCAAAACATTATTGGGGGGGGGGGGCTGCCAATGCTCTTACTTGATATTTCAAAAAATAATGTATTGTGTTTTGAATGATGCCCCAATCGCTATGACCTTTCCAAATTTTGGGCAACAATATTGTTTCGTTTTTTTAAATCTTCCAAGTCTCAAACAAATTTTGCATAGAGCACTTAAAACCGAAAACGACCGAAATATGTAACGCAACATTATTTCCAGCACGTAATTAACGACCACCTCTTTTTTCTGTGCAATTATTACAATGACATTATCTTATCAGCAATGGTTCCGTTTATTAATTTTTGCGTAGTATATATTCGTTATCCTCTGCCTCGTGTCCCCTAAAGCGAAAAAAATTTGCAAATTTCTACAGCTGTGCTTCCAACGTTCGGTAGCCAACTTTGATCAATGCATTGAGAGAGTTTGCATACCGACTGCAGTTATCCTTAACAAAACGATGGATTTTTCATAATTTACTGCTAATAATTAGTTGTGGAGAAAAAATTTGCGGTGAACTTGCGTTTTACGATAGCTCCTAAATCGCCGATATTTAAAAAAATAATAACAGTGGCATAAGAAGTTTTTTAAAGTCCTTTGAGTACCAACTTCCATAAAAGCCCTATGTCAGTTTTGGTTTTCGGCCTAGAAAAACCTATTAGATCGCACTCAATTTTTGAGAAATTTAATTATGCATGATTAAAATTTTTGTTGTTAAGGTTTCTAATTTTTTTGAAAAACTCGCGGAAAACCACTTAAGCATTTGTCAGAGCCGAGGCATCCACGCCGGGGGTGATTAATATACGAGCGACTTCCGTGATAGGACCGTGTCCAACGAAAACTGAAAGCATATAATACATTTTATTTTTGATTATTATTTTTGTTTCTTGTCCTGATGAAGCTCCTTACGAAAGTGGACGAAACGTTGACTTTTCTTTTAACATTGACACGATCCTGTCCTGGAAGTCGCTGGCATCTAATAATTTCCTTATAATAGTATTGATTGATCTTACACCCCTTTCTTCATAGGAATCCTTTAACAAACGTTAGATGTCGTACAAGAATGTTTGAAGATTTTGCTACCAATTTTACTAAAACCTTTCTGCATCAAAGATTGGAATAGGTGCATTACGATTTGACACCAGCGCTTTGACCCTGATGCCGTTTTGACCCCGGCTGTGTCCCAAATTACGGTTTGCCTCCAGTTGGTTAGACACCAGAATCAAACAAAAGAAATTGTTGTTCTTCTTCATTGTTAGGCAATTGATATATTTCATAGTTTTGCGAAATTACTTTAACTAACTACCTGTACAAACTAACGAGTACAAAGTATACCATTCAAATTGGATTACAAACCCCATTACAGATAAGGTTTTCACTGCCAGTTACTTGCCGCTATGGGGACAATACGGCTTGGGGTCAAACTGACTAGGGTAATGCGTATATCTGGGGTTAAACCCAAAATGCCCGGGTCGCAACGGCGGAGTAA